AAACAAAAAAAATCTACAAATGTCATCACTGAAGATTCTCGAGAAGATTATAATATTATTCAGCTTCTGGAAAAAAAAATGATGTGGAAAAATTTTCATCACAAATTCCGTGTGAAGATTTTCATTATTAAAAAATTTGGAAAATTATCTTCGTGAATTTTGAAATTAGAAAAAAATAAATTATCTCTAGGAGATGAGAGAATTTTTTTGTTGAAATTTTAGATTTCGAATTATATTTTAATTAATTGGAAAAAAGAGGAGCAATAAACGTTTTTAAATTTAGACACGCCTACATGGAGCATTTGATAATTTTATTGGCTAAACTTTTGAAGGTCAAGGAACAAGAACCAATAAAACTGTTAAAGAACTCGTGTGGGCGTTTCTATATTTCTCTCACAATACGATTATTGCATCCGTTTATTCTATTTCATATAAATAATTTTATTTCTCTGAAAAAAAGTCAATTGAATAATAAAAGAAGGTGATCAATAACAGTTGTTCTTTCCACTTTTATATAATATTTTTTCAAAGCGAATTTTTTTTCCTTCTCGTGAAAAAAATAAAATACCAGATTCAATATTTTTTTTTTCTTTTCGTAATCAAAATTTGGATATTAAAACCAAATGGATAGACAAATCGCACCAAAAAAAAAAAAAAAAATTTACGCGTTTCAGGTCAGTCTTTATACAAAAATATAATAATCGGAAGTAAAAAAATTCGAAAAACTTTGGTCCACAATATTGGAAACGAAAGGAAATATTTCGCTGCGATTGAACACGGGGTTTTTTTCGTTTCATTTTCGTTTTTTGATTTTTTTTTTCAATAAATAATCTATATATCTATTTTAGTTTTATGTGAACAGGAAAATCGTCCTTTTTCTCAAAAATAAAATCCTTGTCCTTCACTTGTTCTCCTTTATAATTCGAAAGTGTACCGACCGATCCTTTGTCTCTATTAAAATTTTAATTCGCAGTGTCTTTGTTTTGAAATGTGTTGCAGCAGTAAAAACAAGAGAAACAAAAGTGGTTTTTTTAAAGCGTTTTTCGTAAATAATTTTTTGCAAATAATTTTTCAAATTTATAATATATTCGGAATATTCGGGCAGTATAATTATTGTTATTATTTGAAAATTTTATTTGATTTTGTTAATGCACTTGTTACAATATTTTATTGTTGTTTTTACAATAATTATTGTATAATTTTTACAGTAATTGTTGTAATTATTACGATAATGTGTATGGTAATTTTTAAAGTTTGGTTTTATTCGGTACAATACGTATTGTAATTGGTACAATATTCGTTGTACGTTTGACTACTTATAATTTTATTTTTTTTTTATTTTGATACTTTTTCCTCTACTTATTTCTTTTTTTTATAATATTTACTGTATTCTTTGCAATACTTACTGTATTAACAATAATTACTGTAATTTTTTACAATAATTATATTTTTTAGAATTTCTATTGTAATTTTTACATTACTTATTTTATTTTTACAATTCTTATTGTAATTTTTACATTACTTATTATAAATTTTACATTACTTATTGTATTTTTCCAATACTTCGTATTGTGTTTTTTACAATATTAATTGTATTTTCTACAATAAAGATTGTACTTTTGACAATAATAACTGTATTTTTTACAATAATTATTGTACATTCTATAATACTGTATTTTTTAACAAAAATTATTTTATTTTTTGCAATGTCTACTGTATTTTTTACAATACTTAATGTACTACAAATACTTATTGTAATCTTTTGCAATAATTATTCTCCAGTTTTTACAATTATTATTGTAATTTTTACATAAGTTATTGTATCTTTTACTATAACTTTCTGTATTTTTTTCAATATTTATTGTATCGTTTACAATACTTAATGAATATTTTACAATACTTATTGTAAAATATAAAATAACTTCTTTATTTTCTTACAGTAAATATTTTTACAATATTTACTGTATTTTTTACAACAAAGATTGTACTTTTGACAATACTTATTGTATTTTGGTTGACAATAAATATTGTACTTTTTACAATATTTGCCATATTTTTTACAATAATTATTGTATATTCTACAAAAGATTATTGTGCCCGATACTTGCAACAATAATTATTGTACTTGAAAGAGTAATTATTGTACTTGCAACAGTAATTTTTGTACTTGTAGCAAAAATTATTGTACCTGCAACAATATTTATTGTACTTGCAATAATAATTTTTGTACTTGAAACAATAATTATTGTACTTGCAATAATAATTATTGTACCTGCATCAATTTTTATTGCACTTGCAACAATAATTATTGTATTCTTTGCTGTAATTATTGTACTCGTTTCAATAATTATTTGCTCCTGTCACAGTAACTATTGTACTTGTTATAATAATTTAATAATTTTGTACTTACTACAATAATTATTGTTTTTCTTACAATTTCTTTTTACAAAAAATTAATTGTAATTGCTAGTGGTTTATTTAATTAAAGACGTCCGATTTTTTTTCTTATCGTTGAAAATTGTCTAGTGCAGAAAATTTTCATTTTTCCGACATTGATTTAATTAAGAGCCATTGGAAAAATTCTCTACACAATTTTGGTTTGAGATTTTGTTATTGTACTTTGTGTTTGCAATGCACGAGGTGAAGACGCTGCAACTAAATTAGTTGATTTAGTTTTATATTAGTTCCGTAAGTTTGTGCGTGTGCCTTAGATCGCTGTGTGATTATGTTTATTATTATTTTCTTTATTATTGCTGTCATTATTTATAATATTTTTATTGTTGTTATAGTTAAGTGTCTTTAATAACAATAAAAATATTGTAAGTAGTAAAAATTATTATTATTATTATTATTATTATTATTATTATTATTATTATTATTATTATTATTATTATTATTATTATTATTATTTTTATTATTATTATTATTATTATTATTATTTTCTTTATTACTATTATTTTTATTTTTATTATTACTTTCATTTGTACTATTATTTCTACTACTTTTATTATGACAATTACTTTTATTTTCCTTATTATTACAAGGAAAAAAATTTACCTGCAACAGTGATAATTTTCTCTGAAATAGCAAAAGTATTAACTGAAACAACTAAATATTTATCTAACTTAGTGAAATTCATAGCTGTTCCAGTTAAATACTTTTTTCCGTGTAATATTTATTATTTTCTTCTTCTTTTTCTTCTTTGTTTTCTTCTTCTTATTATTATTTTATTATTTTTTTTACTTGAAGTTGATTTTTATTATTAACTACCTAATTTTTAATTATTAGTTATTTAATTAAGTTATTATTTAAAAAAAGCTTTTCTTAATTTATTTGCTTTATATTGTTTGAGTTCAATCATAACGAAATAGAGCGAAAATAGTAATATCGCAAAGTTTCGTTTCTTTCTCATTGACCAAAATAATAGTCACCTCACGACTCGCAACGCCGCTCTACAAACTCGACTTTTAATCCGGATTAACTGTTTCTGATTTATTACCCACATAAGGTTTTAACCCTTTTTGACGACCGTTATAAAAAAAAATCTTACTGTCGAAACAGTCAGTGCCTCGTTAATTTTCTCTTGAAATTTCTTGTAAAAAAAATTTCTTCTTTTTCTATTTACTTTTCTTGTTATTTTTTTTAATTTGATTTTGTATTTTTACCGCAACATTGTTAATAGTAATGGTATTATATAATTGTAGTTATAGTAATATAAGAGTATAAAAATATTATATAAAGATAATTATATAATAGTAATACTATTATTATTATTATTATTATTATTATTATTTTTTATTTTTATTATCTTTTTAAATTTTTATTTTCATTTTTACTATTATTGTTACTGTTATTATTATAATTATTACTATTATTTATTTAGTATTTACGGGCTTATAAAGAAAAAGCTAAAAATTAGTATCACCTTGACTTAAAATTAATTTTCAAATAAATAGAAAAAATAGTTTCTAATTTTTTTCTCTTGATATAATTTAATTTTAAACTGCAATTTTTAATTGTAAAATTATATCTTTTTTCTTTTTCAACTTCATTCGTTATTGTTATTACAATAATTTTTTATTGCTATTTTAACTGTAATTACAATAATACAAAAGAATTTTTTAAAAATTGTAAAAATATTATGTTTCGGATTAAGACAGAAAATTAATAATTAATAAATGGGTTAGTTATATCGCTTATTAATTTAATTTCTAGAATTTGAAAATTGTTAAATATTTCGTTTGTCAATTTAATTTCTAGAGTGCTAAAATTGTTTGAGTATATTAAATACATTTAAATTTATTATAGCGTAAATTTTTATCAATGAAACAGAGGGAAATGTAAATTTTCATAGCGGTTTTTTTTCATATTCCTGGAATTAATAATCACTAAGTGGATTAAATAAATAATAAATAAAGATGTTCAATTAATCGGTAAATATTGTAGATAAATTATGAAATAAAATGCATGAATATAGAATGAATTGATAAAGTATTAAAATCAAGTTTTAGAAATATTATTTTAAAAATATTGAAAAACAGATTCAAAAAAATTATTTAAAAAAAAATGTCAAAACAGTTTTATCAAGATTATTTAACAAAATTTTAAAACAGTTTTATCAAAAGTATTTAAAAAAGATTTTAAAACAGTTTTATAAAAATTTATAAACATTATTAAAAAAATTTCAAAACATTTTTAAAAAATTGTTGAAATATTCATGAGCAAAAATAGGAAACTTTGTTTTTTCTGTTTAACCTTTTGGGTAAAAAAAAATATGAAACGAAAAAGAAGAAAGATATTTTTCTTTTATGAAAAATAAGATTTTCATTTTTTTTTCTTTTTTTGAAAATTCACTGTGAAGAAATTAATCGAAGCACTGAAAAACGGAAAAAGGTTTAGGGATGTTAAGAGAGACGTTGAGAGCAGCCGGAAACGGGAGGTTGACGAAAATGAAGTAAAAAGCGAAAATGCAAGGTGTGTGTCTATCGGTTTGGTTTTAGCGCTGAGCAACTGCTCTGAGAGCGGCGGTGACCCGGACGCCATGCTGGATATCCATCATCCTGGATCTGGAATCGACTCTCATCACCAACAGTTTCACAACTCATATGGTAATATCAAAACTCATCATTATTATTTTTATTATAACTAACTCAATCGAGGTTGAATTTGCATTTTTCAATTGTCAATTGTCAATCGTTAATCGTTAATTGTTAATCGTTAATTTTTAGATCAATTTTAAGTCGTAATTTTTAAATTTTTCCCCTTTTGGACAATTTTTTCTTTTTAAAAATACAAGCATAGAAAATAGAATATTTTACTCCCCACGGGATTTGTTGTAAAAATCGTGCGCGGCACTTTTTTGGAGTTACAGAAAAAGGAGTTAAAAATTTACTCTCCTCGTTAACTTGCTGAGAAGTTAACACAACAATTTTTTTTATATAAAATACAAAATATTCCGCGAGGGAGTTGATAATTCTTCTTTCTTCGAAGAAAAAACCTTTTTTTTTCGAAAAAAATTGAGAAAAAAATTTTTTTTCTTAATAAGAAAAAAAATCGTCTTTTAGAGTAGATTTCTAACTCATCGAGAAGTTTTAATTTCAAGTTTCTAAATTTTTTTTCAGTATAGTAAGAAAAGTATGTTATATTTTTATTTTTAATAGGAATTTTTATTACGAATTTTATTTCATTTTTTTTTTCAATGAGAATATCGTTGAAAGTATCAATAGGACTTAACAATAGATTCACTTTTTTAAATATTAAATACGCGTGCATAATGAAAATAATCACAATAAAATGTATCTCTTGCACTCACAGTGTGTGATGTACATTAAAATGAAAAATTTTACACATTCACCCCCAGTATTTATTCAATCTCAATGATTCGTAATAATTTGCAATCCAAAATATATATATGTTTGCTTTAAATTTTAAACTTGTTAATTACATATTCAAGGTACACACAAATTTTCATTTCAAATAAATAAATTGCTTTTATTATGTTCGATTCATTGCGAAACATTGTGAATGAAATACGGAAAATATTATTCAATTCTATAAAAGAAAGAAGGAAGGAAAAAATAAAATGAAAATAGAAAAATTTGTTATTCTTTTTGCGCAAAAAATGGATAATTAGCTATTGTGTTTTAAAAGCGAAAGAGAGAAATTGATGTTTAGATTATTTTTAAGAGTAAATAAATTTTTTAGAGTATTTTACATATAAGTAAAAATATAATTTTAATAAATTTAATCCTTTCTCTACGAGGAGGGAAATTTCGTTTTTCCTCCTTATAATTTAGATGTAAAAATTTCCATATGAAATGAACAACTGCCTTTTTTTTGCTCCGTTAGGAAAAAGTAATTTTGATACAGAAACTAGAAAGAAACAAGTTTTTTTTTCTTTTTTTATTTATTGAAAGATTCCTTGCGAGTAATTTGAAAGTACATATTGCAAAGGAAGAAGAAGTAGAAGAAGAAGAAAAAGAGGAGAAAGAAAGAAAGGATGAGAGAAGCGAAATGAAAAAAGTTGCCTCTCGTGTATGTCCGTGAACATTTTGGTCCCATTGACGGATGCTGGACAAAGTCGAGAATTCGAAAAACGAGAAATCCGCGACGGTGATTTAAGAAAAGCGTGGAATTGGAAAGCTCGTCATTTGTCAATAGAGATTAGTCGGCCCGACGGAATTCATGTTCTCGATTGTATAGGTAGAGTACACACACATATATTTGTAAAGTTACGTGTATATGTGTTTTTTTATACAGATATTTACGTGTACGTACAATATATTATACGTATTTACAATATAGAGAAATGTACGTATGTCTGACGCGATTAAAAAAAACCCAGAAAAGCAAATCTTTTTTTAGGTTATGTTTGTGTTATTTTTACTTTAATCAAAATTTCCTGTTTAATTGCAGGTTTAATCGATTTCTAAATTTGATTAAAAATAATTGAAGAATTACGAATAATGACGATGATGCGTTGAGATTTAATACGGAGACGCTAATCTCCACCTGCGAACGCCAAGGTCACCGCTAGGTGGCAGTTCTGTTCCTTCTTGGAATTTTTATCGCCATCTGGTGGCGACCTTGGCGTTCTCAGGTGGAGAAATCTTTTTAATCCCTTCAAAACATTTTTATAATAACTTTTTTTTTAATAAATTGCGAAAAAATGTTATAGTGACAATAATTTTAATTAACTAATCAAAATCATGCTCTCTAGTCTCTAAATTTAAATTAGAAGTTTTACTAATTCAATCAGTCCATTTATCAGTCCAATTTTCATTAATTTTCATTTTTAAATTTACATTTAAAGATTTTTCATTACCATTTTTGCGATAATTCGATTATTTTAAAAATTTGCAATTAAAATTCTTCAAAAGTTGATTTTTTAAAAACTGTAACAAAAGACTTGGAAAAAATTATCATTTACGAATGGCCATCTAGCGGTGACCTTGGCGTTCGCAGGTGGAGACTTTGAAGCCCTTTCGAAAAATTACAAACATAACCTCAAATTACTTGCTTCTTGATACCTTTCCTTTCGTAGTAGTCTATATATCGTATTTGTATACGTATTTACGTATACAGTAAATTACGTACGTATTTATGGATTGTATACACGTATGTATATATATATTGTATACACTCGTATATATCCAGTGTAAGCGAAGTTATACTTGGATTCGTTGCTAGTATCGAAGAAGAAGTCACTGAGAGGTAATCTCGCTACTTCCGAAGCTCATTCAAAATCCCACGCTAAATTTCAATCTGACGTGTACAAAAGTTGAGACCGAGAGAACTTCTTCCAGACCTCGAATGAACATATCTATATATATTTGTGTATTCGTGTGTGAGAGAGAAAGAGAGTGTCATGATAGCGTATAGTGTAGACACGACTTGTGCTCGAGGCAACGGTCCATTTCCACAATCCTCTCCTCCATCCTTTACACTGTGTGTGTCCCCTTCAACCCCTTTTTCACTCCCTTCGTTTTCCCGACCATCGAACGCCATTTCCCATCATCTGCCCCCGTTCTCCAAGCACTATATTCTCTCTCTTGCTTTCTTTTCTGTTTTGCCTTTTTTTCTCCCTCTCTCTCTCTCTCTTCCTCTCTCTCCCTCTTCCTTTTTCACTCTCTTGCTTTTTTCTCTCTCTTTCTGTCTTATTCTCTCACTTTTGTTTTTACTCTGTCTATTTTTCTCCTTCACTCTCTTTGTCTCTTTTTCCCTTCCTAAAATCTCTCTTTTTCTCTCTCTTTATCTCTTAGTCTCTCACTCTTGTTTTCACTCTGTCTCTTTTCTCCTTCACTCTCTTTATCTCTTTTTCTCTTCGTGAAATCTCTCTCTTCTTCTCTCTCCCTCTCTTTTTGAAAGAAAAAAGGAAAGAAAGAGAGAACGTAAAAGTAAAAGAACGAGAGAGAGAGAGAAAGAAGGAAAGAGTGAAAGAACAAGAGAGAGAGAAAGGACGAAAGAGTGAGAAAGAGAGAGAGAGAGAGAGAGAGAGAGAGAGAGAGAGAGAACGAAAAAGTGAAAGAAAAAAAAGAAAGAGAGAGAGAGAACGAAAAAGTGAAAGAAAAAAGAGAGAAGAGAGAGTAAACGAAAAAGAGAGAGAGGGAAGAGAGAGTAAACGTAAAAGAGAGAAAGAGAGACACCCCGAAAGAAAGAGAGAGTAAGAGAGTCGAGGAAAGAGAAACTCACCCTCTTTGTGAGTCCTTTTAGGTGTCTCCACTTGCGCACCACCCACTTTGCCTTTTCCACCTTCTAAAAGAGGGTTGGAAAGTGTGGAAGGCTGCGTTATGTGTATCATATATATAGCAATGAGTAGCATACATATACCTTTCGCATCAATTTGTATACGTCACGATTTCCCATATAGAGCGAGAAGGCGCAGCTAATTAAACTTCCCAGCACGCTTACTCTTCGATTCTGTGATATGCGATACAATTCGCGGTTTTCAGTCCTATTAATACCTATATATATATATATATATTTTCTCGAGATTTCTTCCTCTCTATATATATATATAGTTGAATCTTGAACACTACTGTATATATATATGGGTCTCATTTATTATTTATGATTTCACAATATCGCGTATTTCCCTTATTTAGAGGAGAGAAATTTGATAGGCAGTGAAATCGAATGTTAATTCAATTTATTATGGAAAGTTAATTCAATTTTTGGTGGTTTTCAATTAAATTGCAAAAAATATCGGTGAAAAAAAAGTGTGGGGTTTGTTTTACTTTTTTGTGATTTTTGAATGTTGAGATGGCTTAGTGGCTTCGTTGCTTGATTCGTAACAGCAGGGACCGGGGTTCGATTCTTCGCGAGTGTGGATTATGGTGAAAAAAATTTCTGGTATAGTGCCCTGACATATTTACTCTCTGCCTTCGAATTAGTAGAATTTGACTAATTATCAGTAGAATTCTACTAATTTTCAGTTAATTTAATTTTCTATCCATTAATTTAATTACTAAGTAAAGGTAAACTGATTCGATCAATTAGTAATTAACTGACTCAATCAATTAGTAATTAAACTAATTTAATCAGTAAAGTAACTGATTTAATGAGCAATAAAACTGATTAAATTAATAAATTAACTGATTTAATTAGTAAATTAACTGATTCAATTAGTAATAAAGCTGATTTAATTAGTAAATTAATTGATTCAATTAGTAATAAAACTGATTTAATTAGTAAATTAACTGATTCAATTAGTAATAAAACTGATTTAATTAGTAAATTACCTATAAGTGTAAGTTAATTTAATTAGTAAGTAAATTTATTCGATCAATTTAGTAATTAAACTAATTCAATTAGTAAAGTAACTGATTCAATTCAATTAGTAATAAAACTGATTGAATTAATAAATTAACTGATTTGATTAGTAAATTAACTGATTTAATTAATTTAATTAGTAAATTAACTAATTCAATTGGTAATTCAGGGTGGCCACATGTCAGCAAAGTCAGAAAAATATCAGGAAGACAAAATTTTTTTCAGTAAAGTCAGGGAAATGACAGAAAAAAAAATTTTTCATCAGGGAAATTAAGAAAATTGAGACTTTTTCGATTTATTGTCAAATATTGCAACTTTTTCGAATTTTTTTTAAATA